CTGCCGACGGACGGCGCCGCGGCTGTCGACGGCGGCATCGGTATCGTCGCCACGACCGCTACCACCACGCAAATCACCCAAGTTCCACTCCACATCGGCGGAGGTGCCGTGATCGCCACTATGGGCACCCCTCTCAGGGAGCTTCAAGAGCTGCTGCGTATCAAGGACGAGCGGATCGCCGAACTCGAGGCCGTCGTCTGTTGCCGCGATGCCGAGATCCAGGAGTTGCGCAGCCACCTGGATAAGTTCCTGAGTATTCTGCCCTTCAGCGCGGCACCACCGCTCACGCCGACGAAGCCGCGTACCCGCGATCGTGCCCAGGGCATTTCCGCGGAACCGCCGCTCCAGGAGCTCGCGCCTCTCGCGGTGGTCGATAAGAGCGACAGGTTGGTACCACGCGGCACTGTTTTTCTACTTGTTGCTCGCGGCGCGCGCGCGCGCGCGTACACCCTTCTTTTTATTCTTTTCTTCTCGCGCGCACCTTGCACGCTCCTCGAATTCTTCAAATGAATTTAAATGAACTCTATTTTTAACACATCAAACGTGTTTTTGCGACACTCCAGCTCGACGACAACTCTGGCTATTCGTTGCTTACTTTGTCATTTCTCACTTTGACACCTACACAAAACGTAGTCAAAAGTATGGAAAATTTCACGCAGAATTATATTACTTGGCTAGCGATTTAAATTTGATACGTGCATAAAGGGATGAGGCATTAGCCGCAGTCTTGGATCACGATTCTCAGTTAGAATTCATATAAAGTTAGTTAAAAGTGTATTATAATAGATTTAACACTTCTTATTTTGATGGCTAATACATAAAAGTGTGCGAAATAAATTTGAGATGTCTAGAAAGACGTATATCTTCACCAGTCATAATTTTGGCTGTGATTCTCAGTCAGAATTGTAAAATTAGTTAAAAATGTGAAAATCATAAGCTTACTTTGGCATTTTTTATTTTGATATCTTTATATAAAACTGAAAATTTTTGTGCTAAAAATGAAGATAAATTTCATGCAGAATTATATTTGGTCAGTGTCACAAATTTGATATGTTTAGGAAGAGATACGTCTTTAGTCAACAACCTTGCGATTCTCAATTAGAATCTATATAAAGTTAGTTGAAAATATAGTAATAGATTTACTTTGGCATTTCTCACTTTGACACTTACACAAAACGCAGCCAAAAGTGTCAAGAATTTCGTGCAGAATTATATTTGGTCAGCAAAACAAATTTGAGACGTCTAGAAGGACATACATCTTCACAATTTTAAACTGCGCGATTCTCAATTAGAATCCATGTAAAGTTATTTGAAAAGATAATAATATACTTACTTTGATATTTCTCACTTTGATACCTACACAAAACCCAGCCAAAAGTGTCAAGAATTTCGTGTAGAATTATATATGGTCAGCAAAACAAATTTGAAAGTCTAGAAAGAGATGCGTTTTTAGTCGCAACTTTGCGATTCTCAGTTAGAATCCATGTAAAATTAGACTTCGTTTTATGTTTCTCATTTTGATATCTAATACATAAAAAGCAGTCGAAAGTGTGGAAGATTCCACGGAAGAATTATACTTGGTCAGCGAGATAAGTTTGATATGTCTAAAAAGAGATGCGTTTCCAGTCTCTCCTTGGCTTATGTGATTTTCAGTTAGAATCCATATGTAAACTTGCAATTAGTTGAAAGTACAGTAATACGAATAAGATGACTTCGGTAAACGCGAGTTTTCTCGCTACAGATATGCAAAAAAAACAAGCTTTTGCAGGTGATTATTTTCTCGAGCGTGATCGCATTCGCGCAATAATAATTGAATTCCCCGGTTTTAAGTTTCGATATTTAGCACCTTCATTCTCATCGTCGCATTGTCTACATGTCAACGACTTTATTTGCTATGCGATCGCATACACTGTATGCATTGTAAGCGACTCGTCCTCGCCATCATCTCGTGTGTTTTTATGCATACGACTCGAAAAAATCTGGACCTTTCTCCTTCGCTCTAAAATTAAGCTTTCGCGTCCCACTACGTGCCAAAGTAGACATTCGTGGGCATCTGATTACTTCCGACTAGTCCTTATCTTCGACGCTTTTCGAGAGATATGACGTTACCGTCGCTATCTTTTAATTAATCTCAATATCTCTCGCTAAATATAAATTTGTTTCTAAGAGATGCGTTTTTACTAGAAACTTCAAATCGGTATTCATAGTCCGTTCTTATTTCAAGATCGTTTTAAGTGATGTCTTAATTCTAGCTGTACACACTGGGGATCCCCGGATCCCAGCGCAATTTTTTAAATTGAAATTTTTTCTAAATCAAGAATTTCTAAATTTTTCTTTTTTTTTTTTTGAAACTATATCTCGAAGGTCCTTAATTCTCTTGACTTTTATACATTATAAGCTTGTTCCTTCATCAATCAATTCTCCATCGATTGAAAAAAAAAATTAATTGAAATGTATCTATTTTAACAGAAGTTACGGTAACAAATATGGATGGGGTCTTAGGGACCTCAGTGTATATATTTAGAGTGCAAAAAACGTGTGAAAAAAAGTGTGTAGAGTTAAAATGCTAATACGGCTCTTTGGTTTGTCTTAGATAAGTACGTTAAAAGACTGTACTTAAGACGGCTTCGAATATGAAGAATCGAATATGAATACCTTAAACTGCGATTCTCAGTTAGAATTCATGAAACTGAATTGGAAGTAATACAAACTTACTTTGTTTTTCATAAATTTTTGACATAAAACACAATTAAAATGTACTTGGTCAACCTTCGAATTGAAAGTCTATCTACTACGGTATATTTGTGAAAAAGATAAAGAACGATAGAAAGTTATACTGAATGATAGAATTTCATTATTTTTTTGCATCTACAAGTTGGCATGTCAAAATCGTTTAGCTTTCAATTAGAATAGTTGCAGCCGATTGCTATATTGAACGACATTATAAAGTTAAATTCAACCGTGTCGTGTTATTTTTCAGATTCTATATTGAGATAATGATAACATATATATGACGAGAATTACATGATGTGTAATTTGAATTTTAAAAACCAATGCGCGACGTTGGAACGATCACATACACTTTGTTGAATTATTTTTAATATTTATATCTAAGAGAGGGAGGAAGAGAGAAAGATTGTTTATGAGTGTAATATATTTGTTTTATCGTTACTCGAACATCTCTTTACGAGGCGCATTGCAGTTGTATCGGGTGTTGTATTTCGTGTATCGCGTAATGTTTAGGCGGATTTATTCCGGAACGGATAAATCGTACCATGAAAATGTTTCGTGACTTCGATGATGCGTGGGCACGACATATTGCGTAAAACACGCTTAAAAAAAAAAAAACGAATGGATTCCTATTAACACGAACATAAACAGATAAAAAAAAGCATGAATGAACGTGGAATGAGTTCACGTCGGCGTGTATCAATTATCGATTGTATTTGTCGTATAGATGTAATATAAATTTTATGCGATCAGTAATACTGATTCGTATAATATTGAATTGATAATATTAATGGTATAAATATTTTTACAACCTTACATGATCAGGATTATTGACAACATTTCAGTTCAGTTTTATATCTTGTGACGATATGTACATGCATTATAAATCTTAGTCAATAATATTGTCAGCCCAACAAATATTGATATATTATTGATTTTTCGATTTTTTAGTATCAATATCAATTTGTGATAGGTGATATCATTAGTTAGAGGATACTGATATTTGAGAAGAACTCCGGATCACTATCAAGATCCATCAATATTAGCTACACGCGACTAATAATTATTGGTATGTGTCAATATTTATGGATACTGATTATTATAGACGTGTAAGGTGCTTATTATAGATTGCGCATTTTCTGATTTTAGCTTCTGTCTTAGAATCAGTATATCACATATGCAGCACAGATCATT